GCCATAATTTGTTATTTGTACTCATTTTGAATCACATTCCAAATAAGGTTTTTACACTAAAAACACTTTTCCCTGTCTCCGATTTGAATCTTCATTAAGTTGTCAACTGTTCTTATTCTATATAATTCTTAATTTCTTATATTCCATAAAAGGTATTTATATCCATACAAAGAATTCCAATCAAAGTAACACAAAAAGTAAACAGAATACTAATTCCACATAATATAAAGAGTAGCTAGACTACCTGGCCAACCGTTTTCTCCTCAATCTTTTGATCTTTATATCAATAAATAATTTTCAATATTGGCGAAATGAAGGCCCGATATGAAAACACTCGCACGACGGGTATTCAAACACTGCTCAAGAATCTATCAATAATGACCTAAGTGTAGAAGTCTTGTCAATATCGTTAATTTCCCAGCCTCCAAATTCAGGTGAAATTGATTCAAGTTCTTCTATAATGTACTCAATAGTGTATTTGTGTAAATTACTTCGTTACAAAAGAGGAAGAACGAAGCTGGAAATCTTTATCACCAATTTGATAATAATCAACTGTCTCTTGCTAAAGAATGTGGGATTTTTTCCCTGAAATTTTAGTACTGAGTCGTTTGGGCTCCAGTAATTTTTGCTTAATACACTGTAAACTTTACGACTTTTCTTTCAAATTAGCTACGCGCATTAAATCCAAACTCAAGGATATGCCAAAGATCTTCATCCCACTATGAATAAAGCTCCACAAATACCCATACAAATTTTTTCCTTTGGTCTTTTTTACTTGATTTTATAATATCTGCACTTCCATAATGGCAAAATTTCATTATTTACACAATTATGACAACTCGAAATGGGATTCCTTTAAGATAAAATCACCTGGCTTATTAAATTCACTAAAGTAGCATCCCACGCAATTTATAACAAAACCACACTCTTTTTTCAAATTTAAAGGAAAAAACTTGTTAGGATCGCATCTTTATCACATGAGCTTCCAAAATCACCTTAAAAAAGACCGAAAATTAATTCTCATTGGAACACAAAATTAAACTTGAATCATCTCCTTCTTAAGAAAAAAGAAATCTGCAAAGTTGATCTCCTACAGAACTGCTTTTAAGTGGAAATTATTCCATTAACTGAGATACAGAATTTGTTTTAAATATTCAGGGCAAGAAGATTTGATTTCCACTTTCCAATTTGCAGTCTTACGATATTGCACAAAATGGAACTTACAACGAAACACACAATATATTACCTTCTACCCAGACTAGAATCAATAAAGTGGACAGTCAAATCACATCCTTTGGAATTACTAAGATTTTTTTTTTTTGCAAGCTAAGGGGACTATATGTTAGATTTACAAACACAATGCATTTAATTTTTTTTAACTGATAACTTAAAATGAAATCAATATACCAATGTATGAAAATTAAAAGTATAACCATGCAAGTAATTTTTATCTTTCTTACAAATGTGTACACAGGTTAGTCGACAATTTTAAAAGACCAATACTCTGATGTTAGTACTTGCCTTTCAAGGTATATTTTTTGAAAGGATATGGATATTCAATTCTATATATCTTTGTTCAAATAATAATTTTGGATATGATATTGATATGGGACAAATCCCCCCCCTCCAAAAAAAATCCAAAACTTATTGTCAAAAGCACAGACTACCCTTCCTCTCTTTTTGAAAAAAAAATACTGCACAAAAAAAAACAAAAAAACAACAACAATCATATGCCAGCAGGGAACAATGCAGCTCCTGCAAAAATAATGCCCCATTGTGTGTTAACATTTCTATGTACAGAAATCTATAGTCTCTTGGTGAGGTACAATCTTTATCTCGACAAGTCATCCAATTCCTTCATCAATAATTAAAAATCAAACAAGGAACATGACTCTCGTTAAGTGCACCAGTCTTCTTCGCTTATATCTGTAATGTAATGATCAGCCCAATCATCCTGATCCACTAAACACCTATCTCCATTATTTACTATTTACTAATGTCTTTTTTCTACAATACAGTAAGTTAACACTAACCTGTTCCTTAGGGGAGAAAACTGTTATGGATGCATTCAATTTTTGTAAAACTCTAAGATCTATTTTTCTGTCCATTAAATACAGTGATTATGGAAATTGGACCAGACTGCAGTGATATTATTTTTAGCATTGTGCAGCTTTCTGAATTTGGAATCCTTTTTATAATGCTAAATATATTTGATTTTACTGATTGCTAAAACAACTGATTAGCCAGCCTTTAAAACTTAATTTCTAAATTTAGCAAAATGAAAGGAATTCTTTCTATTCTTTTTTTGTTGTACAAGTGATCAATATCATTTACATTACATTACATATCTAGAAACAAAAAACCCCCCACAAATTAACCCAATTTTATTTTGTCAAGAAACACCTTTAAGAAAATGAAGGGGAAACAAACAAAAAAAATCAACTTATAACCCAAGAAAACGGAATTTAGGTGTCAACCACAAATCCTTTTTTATCTTCCAGTCACCCGATTTCTGCAAATCGATGGAGCCCTGATAGAAACTGATGGATTACACAGATTACCTTTATACAGAATGTATCAAGGACTTGCTCCAACCATAATCTGCTATTGTACGCAAGAATAATAATGAGGAAAACCCAATCATTTTATTCCTCTGATAAATCGAGACGTGTATCCATGTGGCAACGTTATCAATTGTACGAGGAAAAGCAGCCTCTTTTGGCCCGTAAAAGCTCTCTCACCTTTGGTTAATTGTAGCCAAAAGCTTAAAACCTAAATTGGAAAACCCGATAATTGAATGTGGACTCTAAATAACCATTATCGTAGAGTTAATTCAATCAACATATGAATGTTAATCAAGACAGCTCAATGTCGAAGATTTCTTTTTTAAATAAATTTTTGCTTTAACGCACTTAGTTTGCAAAATGATTTTACATGATCAAGTCATCTGAGTGAAGTTTAAGATGACCTTGAATTTGATATTTATTCATAAAACTCCATTTACAATCATTACCTTTAATTATATTACATGTATTTTGCCACTTAAATCTTTTACAGAAACATATATTGCATTTACGTTGAAGTAACTAGTCTTCAGGAGAAGGGGCTGGAGGTTAGGGGTTTCTATTTTTATGATTTATACACATTTTTAATCAGTTGTAAAAATTAAATATTTCATGCAGTTTCATGATCATCTTCTACATTTCTTCAACCATAAAATGAAATCCCTTCAAACCACTGATTTCCCTCAAACCACGAAAAATTGGACCTTGTAAAAATAAGTGATCTTACAGTACTCGATAACTGTAAATGTATTACATTATTTTGGCGTGTACGATATTTGGCAGAAATTCAATTTTCAACAAGTTAGCGTAGATTTGATTTAGCGTTGTCTGAAGCTGCTAGTTATAAAAGTTAATGTACAAGACATTTAGCGATGTACTTGTATTAGCGGGCTCTGCTTTCCGCCAAAATTGCTAAAAAGAAAACACCGCTAAATGTAATATATTTACAGTAACTTCACAAGTACATAGACAGCCAAAAAAAAAAAAAGAAGGGGGATGGTTAAACTCACTAAATGATAATGGACTTTTACATGAAAATTAGCCAATTTAATCTGTTAAAACTGCTTTATCATTAACTTGACTATTAAATAAAACCAATTTCTCTGAAAGTTACATTTACATTTCATCCACCTATTCACATATGATATAGTCTTCAGAATGCTGTCCATATACCACTGTAATTCTTGACTCTTACTTTCTGCCCATCTTTGTGATCAATCTCATTGTTTTTCCCTCAGTGACAATATCTAGCTATACAGCATGTTCCGATTTGGTTCTATGAATTATGCATGCCTGACGACCAGACAGGAAATTATTTCTGTACATGTGGATATTAAACCTTTCTCAGCTAACAGAGCAGCAGATTTATACAAAGATGGATATAAATGCATTTAGCCATTAAGACAAGTTAGTTTTAATCAGACCTTTTACTGGTGAAAATATATTATGTATTTAACTTGTATGATGAGTCCCATGCTAACTAGCTATTGATTATATTTACTGACACACTTAATTTCTAATTATTCTCACTTCTTCATCATACAATTCATATCTAAGCTTTTTCATGGATGGAACAATTCATCTAGATATTTGAGAGATAGGAGTACCTTAAATATAAAAAAAAAATCTTCCAAGTCTCACAGTCTAATTTGATTAACAGTATATTCTCAATACTTTCTAAAATAAACCAAAATTAACCTAGAAGCACTGAATATATTGACTCCTATTAGGAAATAATGTGTTTGATGCAACAAAAAGTTCTAAAGTGTCCAAATTAACCTTTCTGTCACCACCATTGAAAAGAAAAATCCACAATTTTATCTCTGCTCAATTAAGAAGACAACACCCTGATTCGCAATCTGCAGGCCAGCCGGCACATCTTATGAGCAGACATTATCTCCGCAAAACAATTAAATTGTTACACAACAGCTTCAAGCCATAAATCTCCGTTAAAATTGTCCGTAAATTGAAACCTACAGCTAAATAAAGCCTCTCAACTACTCCCTCGTATTGATCTTGGGCATCTTACGGGAAAGATAGCACTCATTTCTGTCATATCCCACAACCAAATGACAGAGGCAAGTCATGCGAAATAAATGTCTACATCCTCCGAATTGACAAAAGACAAATAATAATGAGGTTTCTACTTCCTCTTCTATCATCATTGATCGGTCAAAGACAGGGAGATGTCATTTGTAGTTTGTGGCCTACTTTGTTACTTTAAGAATATCCTACTAGACAAAGTCTTAAACTCACCGAACCATCCACTAAATGAAGTGTAACACAATAATGACACTGTAGAATTAGTGTCTCATGTTTTCAATATCACACAGAGTTTTACATTTCTACACTTTAATGATGATTATTCTTTGAAAAGTTACCTTTACTCTTTTGATGATTTATTAGCTTACAGATGACCTTGACCCCTGACCTTACCTTGTTTCTTTCTCAGAGGGCGTCTCACAGCTGCTGGCGACACTGCTGTCCTCGGACTCGAGCGAGTTGAAGCTCTTACAGTTGGCTTCTCGGAGTTTTCTCTCCTCCCACTGCGCCCGCCCCTCGTCTGCAGCCCGACGCTTCAGTTCCTCGATACGCTTCTTCTCCTGTTCGATCACATGACCACCTATTTATAGAAACACATATCACATGTACCAGTGTTGTAGTCATATCTATTTTTTTTCACTATACAGTCAATTTATCAAATTCACAGTTATAAAGCAATTAATAGGAGGCAATATGGGCAAGAAATATGTTCATGCATATAGTAAAAAGATTTCTTTTACAATTTACAGGAAAAAATAGAAAGCAATCATATTCTTTAATATTGACTGACAGGTTATTTTAAGAAAACTGCTTTTAATAGAATTCATGCGATCAAAAGAGCTATTTTAGAAAATCATTTCACAGACAGTGCACATAATGTTAACAACACAACATGCTATATAGAGTGATTTATTAAACAATGAAGAATTACGTTAATTATAGAAAGATATTAACAGATTAGTGTTTATGATTAGTATACCCACTATATTATAAAAGTCAGAGATTTGATTGTTATGAAGATGGTAGACATGAAAAGACTTTGATATTGTAAATATGAAGAATCTTAGAGACTTCTCAACAATAGTCTACTTGAAAATATGAGTAGAGTTCATTATTAAGGTCTTCCGTCTTCGCGGAAGACCTTATAGCGATTCTATTGTTTCTTCTTATTATTATTATTTTTCTGACCATCTAATTTTGTGCACGCGATTTCTCGAAGACTTCTGGGTGGATTTTCACGAAATTCTCAGAAACAATGTGTTGTGATATGAAGTTATTTTATCCGAGAGATTTTTTGGAATGTCGCTTCCGGTGCCAAGTTACAGGCCTTTTCCTGAATTTAAAATGACCTTTTGTCCGTGGTTAATCTCAAGAACGGTAAAAGATATTAATGTCAAACTTTCAGGGATTATAGATCGTGATATTCACTACCCAGGACGCGACCTTTCGTTCGTCGTCAGTACTTCCTGTTGTTTCCAGATGAAAATTTAAAAAGTCGAATTTTCTAACTTTTTTATTTTTCAATATTTTTGAATTATTTTAAAATGTTTCATAGAAACCCTTCTAATTAGGCTTAATGTATAATTTGTTTATAAATTGATAAATTCAAACTCTAGATATTAACATTTGAAAATTCGAAGCGTATTCAAAATGGCGTCTGTCTCTGTCAACTCCGACATTTAGCGCGTAGGGGGTTATGGAGTCAGCTGAGCGTTTGGTTGAACGAAACTAACATAAGGATAAATGAAATGTGAAAGAGTACTTTGATTGGCACGTCGTAGTTACGTTACAATTCTGTTTTAACTAAAGTTTTAATGCGAGATCTTCTCAAATTGGTTTTATCTGATTCTCAAAGTAGAAAAAGACGAGACTACATGTACAAATGAAATACTATATATACAACCTTTTGTTTTGCATCATGAAACAACAGATCTTGAATCACGATTAATATACATGTAAGCATAAGTTTATCAAGAAACAATATATTCAGTGAGTATGAAACGCGGCCACTGTTTTCCCATGCAAACTAATAGAAAAGAATAAAATAAGTAAACCATTTTTTCAAAAGATCGTTTAATGAAGTTAATGTAAACATTTGTTTTCTAATAGATCTAATTCAAGTTATTGAACATAAATGGTATCTTAATTCTTGACCGTCGTTGGGTGAAGCACGTTTTGCAGTTTCAGTTTTTTAATGAATGTGTAACTCAATGGGAAATTGAAAAATGTCTAAGAATCATAGCCATATTCCACTGCTTTTGTATTACTTGCGTATAAACGATATGTTTTATGTCTCGTACATTGAACGTTTTAAATGACTTTTAAAACTAACAATTTAAGCTATTAGAACGTTCTTATTTTAATCTGATTGAAGCTATCACACCTTTTTAATAGAACTTTCCAAAGAAGGCGTGAAGATTTATACTTGACTTTTGGCGCGAAATTATGAATAGTGACCAGCCTTTCACCCTTTCACAATTTCAAGACAGATATACTGTTGCAGAAATATATTTAAAAAAAATTAGGACAGTGGTCTCAATATAGTAAAGGTAAGCGTGTTGGAAACACTTGCTGGTAACCCTGGTTCAATCACCCATCTGTACGAATTTTTCAAATTACTATTTCAGCTCGATTTTACAGGGTTTTTTTTTTTCGGAATCGGACGGAAGACCTCTTGTTGCTCGCAACGAGATCGTTTCTAGTCTTATACATATATCTGCATGATAAGAGCTTTTTTCATCATCAATAAAGGCCAATGTTTTTAAAGTGCAGACCACCACATTTAAGTTTTGTCCATGCAAAGGGAGGTGACTCTGATAAGTCACAGCAACATATGTTGAGTGCATACTTTTAAAAAAAAAAAAAATATTCCCACAACAAGAACACTAATAATGAAATGGTCGTGCAGATATACAGCAAAGCTTTTTAAAGTGAAGTTTCAATGGACAACTGAAACAGTGTTTTGTTATATTACCATAAAAATAAGTCCTGTCTTTGTTAAAATCAAAAGCTGCATGTTATGTGAGCCAAGATTTTAAAGAGAAATTAAAGGTGTACAATCATCATCATCAAATGTTAAACAAACCTAGTCATACAAACTGCAAGTTCCTACACTATAATATAGAATTGTTGTGGACATCAGTTCATTAATCCCTGCTCCCCATCATTTCTGTTGTTTTATACTGAATTCAAAAATCCCCCCTCTTTGGGTATATTTTTCAAAAGTATTTCATAAAATCCACAACATTCTAATCACACTGAATTCCAACATAAATAAGTATGGGAACAACTGATCATAAAAAGCATTTTAAAAAAAACTGATTTCTGTTTCAAGAAAATTATAAACTCTTAAAAAGTCGATTCCCATCATCATTTTTGCTGGAATTTATGAAAATCTATATATACACCAAACACAGTGCCAAAGGCCACCTGTACACTGAACAATAAAATCCTTTTTCACTCAAATGCAAATAACTAAGTCAATACGAATTAAGACTAAAAAATTATCAATAAATTTTCAAAATCTTAAGCATTATAATTTATTCTCCATTTACTCTTTCATTTATTATTTTTTAACTTGCTCAAACACCCCGAGTTATCGAGGGCTACTACAACGAATTCAGTGTACGGGGGACACCACTACTTGCCTTGAAGCTCGAGGAACAGTGAGTGGTTACGCTCGATCTCCAACATGGTGGCTGATTTCTTGCGCTCACCTTTCTCTGAGGATGCTATCCAGGTCATTGTCGGACTAGCCGTGGGGAGGGGCACTGAGCCCTCCTTATCTCCATGACCTTGACCTACAGGGTCATTGTAACTGTCTCTGGATGAGTGCTTTCCCTCCTACAAATAGTTATTTCTTTGTTAAAAAAATATCGATAAATAGGAATACACACATGTACTAATTTAGCTCTCTTAATTTAAACAACATATTCATTTTATGTATACTCAGTAATGACAGCAAATAAATATTATGGCATGAATTATTATAATACATGAAGTACATAAGTAAAAAAAAAAAATAATGCACTTTGAGCACTTGCATTCTCACTTGATGATATAGATTAAACTCTGAATTACAGGAAATAAATAAAAGTATTTTTGTTTTCAACACTGTGTTGCTGTTCTTTGATACCTGTAATTCTGCTATAAATGAGTCCCTATTGTCATCACTAACAGGGATAGCCAACATTTTGGAAACTTCTTGAATTTTCTTCACCAAATGTGATAATTCTACCTTTTCCTGAAAACAAGACTCGGATTTCTAATGCTAGGACTAATACATCAAGCAAGCAGACTGCTCACTCCCAAAAAATTTAAAAAATCATGCACAACAAATGATTTCCTACACAACAAAATAGTGAAACAGATCAAATCAAATTGGAGAGTTGAATAGGAAATTTTTTTCTTGATAATGGAATAGAAATGGATGACAA